TCTTTAAGCTAGCGTGACTCCTTATATATCTTTCAGAAAAGTTCTAGAATGTTCTAGAGATCTGTAATATTGCTATTTTTAGAAACATTACACTATGATTACATCATAACAAAAATATGCTGAGTCACGGTTCTAGAAGGTTCTCCTTAAAGTTCTCGCTTAGTCATCATGACTAAATGTTCTAGAAACTTCTTCGTTCTATTTTTAATAATTACGTAACGCAACGCACTCTAGAAAAATATGGGCGCTCTCCATAACAGCACTAATCATTGTATACATCCCGTAAAAAAACAGGCAAGGAAAGAAAAATAGGTAAATCAATAAACAGCTCTTACTTGTCGATAAATGTCTGAAGATGAAAGTCTGTAAACATGGTTTTAACGTAACCTACCTTTATTTGCTAAGTTACTTTCGAGAAAAAAAAAAATTCACAAAAGAAAGAGTAAAATTCATGATTTCCTCCTCCAGAGACTCGAAAAATATGACGATTATATTGATTTGTTTACTTTAATAGCACAAATATAAGACCCCAGCATGTTCTGTTTTCTTGCCGTATCTTAAATGCATTAATGTAGTTGTAATTTGTCTAGAATTTTGAATCTCTTGCTCTGTAAATATTTTTATTTTATATTTTATAATATACGTATTAAACACTGACCGCCTCGACTAGCCTTTGCTAACTGCGGGCAGTGTATATTTTTTGTAATATTGTAATATATCATTAATATATATCATTAAACTATCATTAAACTATTAAATCTCGAAAGTTATGCAAACCCTAGAATGTGTCTCGGATTTGCGAAACAAGATCTAACAATCTCATATGAATTCTCCCAACCCTCCCAGCCCTCCTAGTGTTTAGATAAGGCCATTGTAAACACCGTATAACAGTCCTCTATTTCTTAACTAACAAAGACAATTGATACTTTTTGTGTGTTTTAACCGTTTTGTTTTTCTTCACCAGTCGAATTTTGCTTTTTTTAAAATTAGATCATAGACAAAGAGGTCACTTATGAGAGACCTTTGCTTTCGTTTTCCGAGAAACCTGCGGGTTTTTTCCCGGAATTAGAAACGCTCACGAAGCATATATTTACGAAGCTGACGAAGCAAATATCAAGAACGCCGACGCAGCAGAACTTAAAACCGCTTAAAAAACTGTTTCCAAGCACAACAGAGCCATTCACTTCAAGGAAGGAAAAGAAAGAGGTATGAATTTCCTTAGTTCCGAGGTAATGTGATCAACTAATAATGTACTTGAAGAAAAATTGCGCTTTAGTTGGCGAATAGCAACGAGAACATCGAAGGAATAACCCGCAGCTTATGTCAAATTTGTCAACAACATTTCTTCCGGTAGCGGAGTTTATTAAGACACTAATGCGAAGAAAATTGAGTCTTTTCAGAAACAAAGGCTCTTCCAGATCTAAACACACTGATGACATCGAATTCATTGAAGTGATTACAAAGAGAAGTAATTTGAATTTATCGATAAAATTTAAAAGAAGCCGATCGATTTATTCGCGAGATTCCTCTTGGGAAAGCTACGAAATCAAAAGAATTTACCACGCTAAAATTTGTCTCAGGATAATGCAAGTCCCAAATTTAGCTTGGGCAATGGTTGTACTTATGAAAGTTCGACACCAAATGATTGTAACTTTGGAATAGAGTTGAAACATTGCCTTTTCGCATTTTGGCTTGCATGAAATAAAACTTACTAGTTTTGCTATGATTTCTTTTCTCGGCCTTGCATTTTTCCTTTCGTTATTGACAGTAGCAGACTCTGGATTTAAAAATTATATTTTTTCATTGATATTTTGATAATTTCAAACCGCGACACAGGTTACAGTTTTGGTAAGCGTGTTTGACAATCGGGTACAAATGACGATCCGGAAGACTTCGTGGCGCAATATAACTTATGTTCTCTTATGTTGAATGAGTCTTAAAAAGGACTATTTTAGTAGTTCAACATTTTTATTGTGTAAGCTTGTTATGGACAATAGCAAAATCCTAATTCGTCTCAATCATTTGGCCCTTTTGAGTGCCTACGAATAATCTTTTGTAAATAAAATTAAAGGGATCAAATTAATGCTTGCTCGAAGGCATTAATTTCATCATTTCACTGGGTTTAATTAAATGCGGTAAGATTACCATAAATCAGACACGATTTCGCCAGGCTTAGTTGAACCCTCGACAACTCTGAAACTTTGAACCGAGGACTAAACAGTTAGGGAACATTCCTGAATTCCTTATTGTAATGACTAATGAAAATGATAAACATTTGAAACATACAACACTCACTGTTTGCCATACATGTTATAACTTGAATACAGTAACTCGTCCACTCAATTTATCTCGGCGACGAGTATTATTTGGGAAACGCTCAGGGCAATTTTAACTGTTCCCAATATGACTGCTAGCTTGTGCTGCCATGGAGCGGACATGACTCGGGTCTCTTCACAAGGATCGGGTTACCTATTCGTCTATAGCTAATGACTCGAATCATGGAGCGGTCATGGAATAAGAACAGACCGAGCTCTGTACTCTCTAGTCACCAGCCAAATTTCAGAATCTTTGTTTAAAATACGTTTTACAGCAGAAAATTTTTATAATTTTCTAGTGATCAATCCACCAGAGTTTAAGCGGAGCATTTTACCTTTTTACCTTTCAGCTTCTCGGATTAATAAGAGATACAAGGAAGCTAACTGGCTACGATGGAAACAAAAAATAGCGACTCACTCCATGAGAAAATTAAAAAACAGAAAGAAAAAATTTGCGGAAATAGCCCGAATCTATCTAAAGAAGCTGCCGATTACCTGGAAGCAGCGCTTGGAAGATTACATTCCCTTACTTTCAAAGATTCAAAACAAAAGGACACATTTTTTGAAAATGTTCAATGTCTTCAAGGATATCACATAATTGAAATCTTCAATACATGGGTGGCCTCTCATCTTCAAGATTCACTGAAAGATCCTTCCAAATCGACGAGAGAGATAATGGGAATTTTCGAAATTTGTTCTCAATTTTGTTATTCCTCCGACATGTCCAGTGGAGTATCCTTTGAGGTCTTTATCAGGACTATTAAGTTTTGCTTTCCCTCTGATTCAAAGAAGTGCCACTTATCAACAAGAATAGTTGTGATGCTACTGGAACTTGTGCAGATTCTCCAAGAAGGAAAACTCATTTTTCCTGTTTCAGATTCACAGAAGAAAACGTACTGCATTAACAGTGCTACGAATCTCTTCAATGACTTCATTGTAATTTTAGAGGCGAGGGACTATTGCGCGGAAGATATTGTTGATATAATCTCCCAAGCATCTAAGTTTGCTCGGGCAGATATCAAACGCAAGTCTTCTGAATTGCAATCGGAACTGATGAAGACGTTATTTCCTGGCTTACAGTAACCTTTTGATGACTTGATTCCCGCAATTTACTTCAGAAACTGGGGTGATCTCCTTCAGCTAACGAAAGAAGGAGATGTTGCATTCATTCTTCGTCTAGCCAGTGAAGATCCACTTTATACGCCTCTACCAGGTACCATATCTCCTCTTTGGTATATGGTTAATGTCTTACGGGAACTTAAAAGAAAAGGAGAGCAAGTCGATCTTGGCTATGAGGAAGAACGGCTTGATGTTTTCTTTAGACACATGTACGATGTTTTCAGAGAAGGCTACGAGATGACAGCTACCTCATTGAAAATCTTCTCATGGAAAAAGGTTAACGATACCGACTTAGCAGATGTTTATAAAATTTTCTTCCTCAGAAAATGCGAAGAGCCCACACAATTTCCAACCCACAGTGTACAATGCTTCCAATCAGTGGGAGAATTGCTGCATAAATTTCCAGACGGATGTCTAGTCGCAAGAATTCTCCAATTTTGGATTGACACTTTCCCAAATGATCTGGAAAAAGCAGAGCTTATGAAATTGTTAGATCTCTTCACAGGCCTCTTTATCAAACAATCAGCTGAAAGTGTAAACGGCTTAAAAGAAAAAGCTGACCGGCTCTTACATTATATTATGAAAATAATCAAGGCGTCCTTAATCGTTTCTTGGCCTAAAGCACCTGAATTTTTGGAGGTATTCAAGCGATCAGCATATTCTTTTTTGGACTGGATTTCACAACAAGTTGACCTCAGCGAATATGCCAAAGAAAACACGATTGCCCTTTTCGTGCGATGCTTCGATCGTATGGAAAGGTGCGAACCATTTTCTTGTCAGCTCATCAAATCCTTGTGCCTATGCAAAGGCTTGTCCCTCGAATACAGGGAAACTTTTCTTGAGGAAATTATAAACTTTTCCACGCACCTCGACGAGAACGAAAAAGATCTCATTCTGGCTTTTGTATCTAAAGTATCTACGTCTAGTCAGACCCTTGATAGCAATCAGGAAGTCTTCTCTGAACTCTCAGAGACATTAAATCGATTAATTTTCAAAAACAAACGTCTGACAAAACAAACTAGATCTAAAACATTTCAGCTGATCATGAATCTAGCCAAAGCTCCACTTCTGAGCGTGAAGACTGATAATGTAGTTCGCTTAATAAGGCATTCAAGGAATTTACCAGATGGTCTATCATGCTGCGAAGATGTTTTAAGATTAGCGACCTCAGTTGCTGCAATTGTCAAAGAAAGAGCTGAGGAATATTTTGAGATTCTATTCTCGGCAGTTTTTGAGACTTTGAACGGATCGAAACCCCTCTGTGAGGTCTTTAGCATCCAGCATCAGAATATGACTAAGCTACATATTGATGAGGGTTTCTCAATCGATGTAATGATCATTTGGAATGTTGCCGTGGCTGGACTCTTGGCACTGGGTATATTTGATAAGATGGTTGACCTGCCTTGTTGCTTGCCAGTTTTTGCAAGAGCAAGGGGATTTAACTCCCCATTTGAAGCTTTGTTGCTGTATTTTGAGTTAAGGCGGGTGTTTTCTGGGGTCATCTTGTTGTTGAGAGACTTTGCCAAGAGAGGTAGTAGGGAACCATTACCTAAGTCCCCTGTTGGAAACTTTGTTGATTCTCTGAAAATTATCGTACAGTCTGACATCTCAACACCTGAGGCGAAGCTTAGGTTGATCCAGAAACTCTATCTCCTAGTGCAAGGAAAGCCAAGGCTCCTGATTGGAAACGTCTTACATTGCGCACTTATGAATGTCATTCCACTTTGTAGCGGAACCTGCCGATCGGACCAAAAAAAGGATTTGGACTTTGATCACATTGCAACCATAATTGAACGTCCTGGAATGGTGGAGCTACTTGGAAACATTCCTTCGACACCATCAAAATCAATGTGTTCTATTCTTTGTCAAACGATTTCCAAAAGGCTATCCACGCAAGATGTAAGCAAGATCTACGATTGTTTTGCTTCCTTCAGACATGCACGAAAAGTATTCCTAGAACATATGTTAACGCTGTTGGAATCAACCATCAAGGTTTCCAGCTCAGGCACTGTGGTAGTTCGTCTCCTAAAGGAAGCAAAAGAGCTACTCTGTCAGTTTGACCCAAAACTGATGCCTCTCGCTATTTCTATCTTTTCTTACCTTGTTGAAAACAACGTAACCCCAAAGGAAAGAGCAGCCTTTTTTGCGGTGGTTTTTCCCGGGTGGCAAACTACTTGCGACTCAGGCGTGTGTGTGAGGTACGAAATTCCTCACATTCTTTGGAAAACCTACGAAAGTACTAGAAACGGAAAAGGAACATCTGAGGTCATGGATAATATCCAAGAACTTATTGAACGCGTCAAAGACCTGGAAACACGAGTAGTGAAAGAGGCTTTGGGAAATCCAGCTACCTTTAATCGTGGCAGCATAGTTCGCTGCGACTTAGAGAGACTCGCTCTCCACTCCCCTTTATCATGCGAAGATGTTGCCTTATGTTTCCACCTCTCTTGTTGTTACCCAAGTGTCCACCGACTGACCTGTTTTAACCCGTATGCAGGTTCTGGTTCCCAAATGCAAGATGACCGCTTAATACCTAAACCTACTCAACGCAACGAATCCAAGAGCAGAGACGATATAAGTAGCCGTAAACAGTTCAGTAATGCCACCCACCATTCATTTGAACAAGCCTCTATGGCTTCAAAAACACTAGCATCTCTCTTGACTCCAGGTACGATTGCAGAGAAAATGATGGTACAGTTGAGACGTCTCCGAGGTGATGATATAAATCTCCATGATACCACAGTTAAGCTTTGGAATTCTCTTTTTGCAAACGAAGGCTTAGCCTGTCCAATTGAAGCCTGCAAACCTTCAGACGATTCTTCCGCCTGTGATAATGTGGTAAGGCTTTTCCTCTCCTGCTTGGAAAAGGCACCATACTTTGAAGTTGTACCTACCTGGTTCGACAATGACATCCGCAAGGGACTAAGTCAGCATCACGTCCTTCAATGTGCCGAAGTCGTATATGAGTCATGTGGATGGAAAGCCCAAAACCTGGACAAGGAGGGGCATTTTAAGATTCAGGAAGCAATAGCTTTATTATTACAAGAGATCCTTAGAAGTAGCACTCTATTTCCCAGAATGCCTCCTTTCCTTAATGCAACGTCCTGTTTTTGTGATCTTAGACCCCAACTAGAGTCCCTCCTTTGCATTCTTCAAAATTGCCTGCCGTTTCAGATAACCTTTGATCTTCTAAAACTCGCCATGGTAGACTTTCAAGCCGCCACTACGATTGCAACGATTGCTTCTTATTGGCCATGCAAAAATGAAGCAGCAAAGTTGCTGGAGGAAGTTAAAAGGCGCTTCGAAAAAGAGGGAGAGCGTATACACCCACTATGCAAAGACTTTGTTTGGTCAATGTTAGAAGCGGGTGGCCGGGTTTACAAAGATAGCTCTCAAGTTCTGATAGACAAACTTGAATGGCTGAACGATTTCCATGGCCTTGATGTTCTTAATTACGGCCTTGATCGGCTTCCAAATTGGCGTAGATTAATGACGGCGGACGGTGTTCCTGCCCACGTGATTGACAACTGGTGTGTGTTTTTTCTCTTCACACCCAGGGAAAACATTTCGTTGCGCGATGTTGATGCAGTTCTTGACATCAGTCCCACATCCCTGCAGCTAGTTGCAAATGCCTCTGAAAGTATTAAAAGATGCTTATTTTCAGAAAATGTCTTTCAAGGAACGCATTCGCAAGAAGAGATATCCTCTAACTCTTTGATCAAGGAATGCTTACGACTGGCCAGATTCCTAAGCGAATTAATCCACATATTGAAGGTCCGAGTGCCTGAAAAAACTGCCATCGATGATATTGTTGAGGAAATTGTGGTTCAAGCTTGTAACAGGCTTTGCATGAGTCATATGGAGAAAATCAAGAAGGAAAAAGATAAAGTCATGAATGCAAAAGACGAAACCGAAGAGACAGAGGACAAAAAACAAAAGGAAGAAAAAAAAACCAAGAAGACAGAGAACAAATCCAAAAAGGGAGGAAACGTAAGCACAAAGAAAAAAGAGCAAACCAAAACGATAGTAGGCAATTCTAAAATGAAAGAGGACAAATTCAAAGAGATAGAAGCCAGAACCGCAGACACAGTAGAAAATGATGGAGAAGAGATGAGAGACAAACGCAAAAAGACAGAGGATGAAAAAGATGAAACAGATTACGAGCCCAAAATTGCAAAAGATAAAATCAAAAGTAACAATCCCTACAGAATCCTCCACCGGACGCTTAAGGCCCTTTTCAATGAAATGTTTGCCAAACAATCCACAATCACCGATAACCAATCCAGTTTACAAAACTGTGGTGAAGGTGCGATGGATTTTGTCTTGAAAGGTTCAACCTTGCCACAGCATCATCTTCCAAGTGAAGTTTATGAGTCGATGCTGGTATTAATGCGACGCTGGTTGTCGGGTATCGCCAACAAACCATCCCTTGCTTCCAACGCTATGAAGATTGTTCAGTCACTTTTATCATTCTCTTGCGAGAAAGATCATTCCCAGATAGAGAAGTTACAAGACGAGATTCGACTTCAGATACTATCATTTCCAAGAAATCAGCTTCTTCTATCCCAGTTACAAGCAGCAGGCTACAATCAAGGAAACTCCGTGAACTCCCAGGACTTGTGGGCCTCGCCTTCTCTCGAGCTTTCTTGTTTCTTCAGCAAGTGTGAGTTTCAAAGTGACAAACGTTATGAGACGAAACTAACTGATGTCCTCAGGCTTCATTGGATGCAATGGAAGGACCTACTTTTCAAGCAGAATATTCATTCTGTAACGATCGATGACCACGAAGTGCCTGTGAAGGACCTCTTTGAGACTCACGCTTCGCGAGTTGAAATGGAGAAGCAGGTGGCAGCTGCAAGGAAAAAAGTCGGGCAGATTGAGTCCGAGAACGTTAGCAGACATGTGAGCCAGCTAGTTCGTGAAGAGCAGAAGCACCGTGACAGAGTTACTAAATTATACAAGAAAGTAAGTAAAACGATATACACTAATTTCGTTGACATTGCAGACATTACAGAGCGTGACTTACAAGAAAGTGAGAGCGTACTCATGCATCGTATGCAATACTGCCTTTACCAGTGGTTAAAAATTCAAACTGTCACATTTACGGAAGAACGATTATGACAACTTGGACAAGCTGGCAGGGTTTGATAGTCCGTAAACTTCCCATTAGAACCTGTTAATAGCCCTTCGAAATATTGTGAAGTGATGACGATGATGAAGATTATTATTATAACTCAAATTATCTACTACAACACATAAATCATTTGACGATGCTCCGACCTATAGGTAGGGAGGAAAAACGTTCAGGTGACCACCACTAAATTAGTTAAAGCTGACTTTCTAGGTAACCATGTCTTCATTTTTTCAGAAAGAAGCAAAACCTTGCTCATGCAAAGGCACGTGCTCTAAGGGAGAAACAAGGACCAATCAAGGATGCCCTTGCAAAACACAAGGTTTGGAATGCGGTCCTGCTTGCACGTGTGGCTCTGCTGACAAGCCTTGTAAAAATAAGGTGGGTTTTGTGTGTTGTGTGCGCTTTATTATATACCTGGCCTGCATTCATTTCATCGGCGAGCATTCAGGAATGTTATCCTGGCCAGGAAATCGGAAGGCACTGTGTTCCTTTCAGTACGTCAAATATGATGCTCATGACGAAGATGTCAGGAAACGCTCAGGAAACACCGTCACTAGTTATATTTTTACTGAATGTTCTTAAACTAAAACCAAGAGCTCATAGTTAACCTTAAAAAGCTAACACCGAGGTTAGAAAGCACCAGGTTAACAGACTATAAACAAGAGCTATTGGGAATCGATTTGCAGAATTATTGATGCGCTCTTGAGTCGCAAAATGTGCTGATTAACATTTTATGATTTTGTAATCTAATCGCCATTAGGGTACCACTTCGTTCTCTTAGCATATACTGCTTCAGAAAAAGACATTCTCCACTTTCAATACTTCCACAATTTCTGTTTCCCTTCTAAGGTGGAAAAAGAGAAGAAGACAAAACTGGTGGCTGTATGGGAAAACCGATTTTTAGAAAACATTAAACTTTGCTCAGAGCTAATTCCAGGTAAGCAATTTGACTAGTTTCTCCCAGAGAGCAGGACCCAGAGAAAGCGAAGTAAAACGATCGCCAGTGTAAATTTTAAACATGGATTTACAAGATAAAACTGTGAATCAAATTGTCTCTTAATGCAAATCGGCTGTAACTGAACATGGTAATGGCAAAGAAATTAACTTGAAACGAAAAGTCGTTGAAAATCAACCCAAAAACGATACAATCGTGAATTTAGCTCGGGACCTTTCCTCAGAAAATAAATCAGAACCCGCAGAACGAGAGCAGAACTTTCTTTTTATCTTTTTTTTTTAAATCTCCGGGCACTTTAAGTGAGCGGTGTTTCGTGCTTTTTCCAAATGGAGGGGCACCTTGGTAAACTTTTGACTTCCAATGGGCGACGAAGACTTCATGAAGAAGAAAGCTTAAAGAAAGCGAGGCTCAGTTAGAGAGATAATAAAACTTTTTATTGTTGCAATTTGCAGGCTGTTACGCACCCAACGGTTTCCATTCTGAGAAACCTGTGATTTGTGCTCTGTCCGTGGACAACAGGATCTTGACTGTGTTCAAAGAGGAGAAGGGCCGCAGAGAGGAAATCGAGAATGTTGAAGTGAAACTCTTCGATGCTGGTTTGTACGTATACGGGTTGCATACGAGTGGTCATTATTACGTCACCGACGAATTGTGGGCCGCGTTTTATAAAATGCTTTTGCAAAAAAGATTGGTGCCTGGAATAGTATTGTCCAATGAAAGCCCGGGGTTTCATTGGATCAAGAAATATGTACAGCCTGGTGAGTGGCAATACACCTCTTTCCTAAATTGATATTGAGAATTTGCCACCACATCTTTTGCAAAGTTAAACAAACTCCTATTTTGAATAATTAACCTTTCTGTGATTCCCTTCCTCAGTGAAAGTACATCCTTGCTTCTGGAAGTGGCACCTAAATTGCGGTATCGTTCCTCCAGAAGAAGACTATTTAGACTACCGCCCAATTGAAGCAGCCTTGTGTCCTTGGTTGCATGGACTCAGTGAATTCCTAACCTTAACAAGGATAAATGTCGCAAGGTTTCGTTTTAAATATCTCATGGTGAGTTCATTTAATGTCAGAGAAGTTGGCAGGAATATCATGACCTAAAATTACATCTACTGAATCAGCACCCATTTATATCGCCTGTACTAAACATTACTATACTTACGTTATAATTGAGTTATAGATTACGTCTAGCTTCCGAGTATACCATATAATAGACAAATTTACACTGTTATTTCAAAATGCTAGAAATAACAGGAAAGCAACTGTTTACATGTGGCATTTCGTTGTATGTTAGTTCGAATCAGCTCAGTTTCAAATGACGTTGATTCTTTGTGAAACAAAATGTCCCGAGTCATTCATTCATTCAGAATCTTTTGAGATTTCAACATTTTGACTTCGTACTTTGCAGTCATCAATGTGACTCCACTCATGTATTGAAGATATGAGGTGCTGTTGCACTCTTGCCTCATCTTGAAGTCACAGACATGAACACAAAAATCGCCCTTTTCATCTCTGAGAAGAGAGCAATAACTAAGTTGTCGTCATTCAATATTTCTTAATAAAGAAAACTGCAGAATCAAATGACTAACTTTAAACTTTCTAACAAACTTGTCTAAATCAACACTAGGACGCTAAAGTCGTCGAGGGGAAAGAACAGCAGGCGAGGGAAGTGGCAGGAAAATTCAACGCCATTCCCCAACTGAAACAGAAATTGCACTCGCTGCACAACGACGCCATCCTAATAGGAAAACTCGCATCGAAACTGGAATTTGCTGTTAAGAAAACAATCACCCAAATTGTGATGGGAGAATGGCCCACTACAGAAACTGTCAAGAAACACATTGATATGAGAAGGTTCGCGTTTATCAAATGTGAACAGTGCAAATTGAAAATTCAAAACTGTAAATGTATAATTTACCAAGAGGAATATGCAACTATTGTGCTAAGGGTGTGTGAAAGCGTCCAGGAAACACTCTTAGTTTTACTATTCTATGTCTTTCTTGTCAATCTATTTGCTTTGGATTAATATAATTCCTGCTTAGGAGGCTTTAAGAAACCACTGACTGACTGAGGACATCTGTGGAAAGTTTCTCTGAAGAAAGGCCTCAAATTCAATACTCTCCATTTTTTTTGTTCTTTTTTGTACACGGCCTCCACTGACTGAAGGCAGAGTGACGCCTAGAAGAAGGAACTCTTTTCTTAGACTCTTCAAATATTTACGAGAATTTAAACTTTAAAAAAAATTGACTATTAATCGCTCATGCACCAGTTGAGTAGTGGGTTCTGAGGCCGTATTGCACATGGCGGGCTTGTGTGAAGTGTAAACTCTTCTAAAGGTAAAGAAAGGGTCAGAGGTAGGATAGTGGGCAAGAGTTTTACTTTTGTCGTTTAGCTGTTTCTTTTGTTTTCTTTATTTTTCAGAGTGCTCTTTTAAAGAGTGTCGTGAACTAAAAACCAAAGTAATTTGCAACGGCCAATCTAAACGAATGAAAATATGAGTAAATGAAAAATGAGCCAACGAGAACTCAAAGTAAAAACATGCAAACTGTCTGCAGCACGAGAAGACATGGATGACCAAGTCACTATTGGTCTTCGTTTCAAAACCGACTTTCGGGATCAATTTCTGAGCGAAGTAAAGATCAACCAAAGCGATCTCGAATTACTTTAACCTCTCAACCGAGAGTGCTGTTGCCACAGAACAGTTTGTTCACCAAGCAATACTACCATAAAACTCCATACATTTAGAAGCTAAACTTTAATATCTACCTACTGATAACATTCAATCAAAAATCAGATCATCTCATAAATACCTGACTTCAAGTGTTTTTGCTATTAATCATTAGCTCACTATGCCAAAATGCTAACTGTTACACATTATGTGCTGCAGTTAGCTGAAACCTTACAAGTGTGCCAAGTAAGGTCTGCAGCCAGAGCTAGGTCATTACACAGTGCATGGATTGAACCCAGGGGTAAAGATAGATGATATGATCTGATCGTCCAGGTTAGAGTGTTCCTGGACCTAACTAAGTAGTGTTGTTGGAAGCATTGACTGATGAACACAAGTCACCATAGGAGTCAAGCTCGTAAAACACAGTCTTTAGGATAACAATTTTGGATAACTCTCACCTGGACAATCAGACTATATAATTACATAGGTAAAAATTGGTAACTTTAGTTGCTACCCATTCAAAGGTTTGAGAAGTGAAAAAATAAGTTATCAATGCAGCTTAAGCACAGAAATATATTACATAAAATAGAGAGAGACCCAGTACATTCTGGTAACACTACTCTCATTACTACAGAACTTTTTCTACCAAAACTTATGTGAAATAAATGGCCATTACCAAATGCAAACTGTGATAAAATTAGTCAGATCTGTTCAGTTTAAATAAACTGCATATTCCTGCAAATTGATATCAGAGATGAACTAAGTAAAATTTATTACTTCCAGCAGATTGTAATTTTCAAGGTTGTGCAACTGTAACAGACAGATTTACAGAGAGAGGGAGACTGACAAACACAGAGACAGATGACAGCCCAGTAGATAGACAGACACCTTTTAGTGCAAATAGTAATCACCAGAAATGCCAAAAGGGGCCCTTGAATTTAAGTGCCAGTGAGAATGTCCTTTCATGGAATGTCCCTAAGAATTTCATTGCTTAACAGTGTCATCACTTACTAATTTTTTCACTAGTAAGAGGAAAGAAAAACATCACTTGCAGAACATTCTCTGATTCAAATTCTCATAGTTACATATGTAAGGAATTTATGACAGACACTAACAAGAATCGATTTTTAGAGGTTTAAATGAGAGAAAAAATTCAACCAACAATTTGGCCTAACCACCCTGAAAAATATTAATGTGTAATTCCTGTAGTGTTTCAGCTTCCGTTGCATTTGGAAAATTGAAAAAGAAAAGTTCATATTTTATTTCTATTTAGGGAACAGACTAAATTGGGCAGTAACTAATAATTTCTTAGGAGTGAGACCTAAGCATTTACGACAAACTAATTACAAATCTGAAAAAATTGGCTGTTTATGCCCTAAATGTCTTTATGCCATGTTAGGCCAAATGAAAAAGTAGGGAAAGACATTCTCATTGTGAGCCATAATTAATATCTGTATGCTAAAATCAAGTAAATAACAGATAAGAAAAAAAACTCCTACCAACACATTAAAGGCACTATCCAATCCATTGCCAAAGTAAATTGTGATATTTTCCACAAAACAGTGTAAATAAAACATACACAATGTACATCTTAGTTAAGTTAAAATAAGCAAATCCATAACATCAATCCAGCAACAATATTTATGTCCTCAAAAAATTGTCTTTGTGCTCACAAATGGGAACAGTACAATATTTTCCATTTCTTTTTTGACAAATTCTGTTGTTAAAAAAAGTTTTATACATGCACACCTTGATTTTCACCAACAAAGTCTAAGTGAGTTTACTAAGCAAACTTTAAGTTGTACCACTTTCTTCAGCTCAGAATTATTGCTTGAAAAACATTTACAAGTTTTTTTTAATGGCCAGTCTTAAAAAGCTGTTGCTTGTCTATGCCCTGGTTGATTTATCACCTTCCCAGGCCACCTCTGTCAGTCTGATTTTTCTGACCCGGCGATAGTAAATAACACATAGGATGAAAAACACAATCACCAAAATAAAGCCACAGATCTAGGGAAGAAAATTAAATTTAAAATAAATGTCAGTTATTGGGAAAGATAACTTTGGAATGCGCAGTCAAGAGAACTGTTTGTGCATTATCATGAAGCAACATCGAGTGACGAGTGGTTACCAATTTTTTCCCTGAGGAACAGGCAGAATTTCAATAGAAATTTTTGTATCAGTTTCAAAATTTGGCCTCTGCAACCAGTCCCAAAAATTCAAACTGATGGAATTCATGCAACTGATTGGTATGAAAAATTATTTTCCAAGGGCAAAGAATTCACAAAAATTCTACAAATCACATGATGCAAAATGTCCCAGCAACTAGTGTCTCCACATCCTATTCCAGCAATATGTTTTGGAAACAGTAAAAACAATACCACATGTTCCAGAGGCTTGTGGCAGCCAATTTTTCCAGCTCCTTACTCATCCATATCTCTTGTCTAAGATTCTTGTAAAAAGGTCTTTTTTCTTGCTAACAAATGGCTTTGCAGCCAATTTAGGTGTTTTTTAATACATTCACTACACATCACTTGGAAAGCAACACACTGCCTCAGACACAAGAGGTCTTAAATTTCACCAGGAGGGAGATTTAGCAGCAATCTAAAAGCACGCTAAAAGCAATAAGTACATGTAATAGTTTCACTTACTGCTGCAATGATAAACTGCGCAGAATTCAGGGTCCACTGGGACAAAAGAGCCGAGGAGAACAAGAAAAAGAAGAAGTACGACAAGCAGTAACTCAGCAGAAAAATCCACTGTTGGAAACAAAAACAAGTCAGATAATTAGTCCAATGCCTTGACTATGTCTACCTCTACAAATGAAAATTCCATTTAACCCCCAAGATCCACCAAGACAGAATTTCTCCTTACAAGATCAATATAACAACCAGCGAACAAGTGATGAGAATAAAGACAAATATCAATTAGAATATGGAAGTATTAGTTGATCTAATACAAAATTCTCAGATTTAAGATCAGTTATAAGAATTGTATGGTAAATAGTAAGAGGAAGTAGTGACCAGATCTTTGAAGTGAAAGGGTTAACTATGATTCTTAAGAATTATTATTTTTTTTTGGCAACTTTTAACAAATGGTTAACATCACAGAGTACACAATTGAGTTATGGATGCGCGCGGAAGGCTGCTAAGCACGAAAGAAGCATTACAGACTCTAGCTTCCAAGATACTTAGGAAACCTCCCCGGTGAATCCATGACTCAATAGTGTTTACTGTGGTGTTTATCATTTGTTTTATGACATAAAAAACAAATTTCTTCCAAAACATTTGCTTACATGGAAACAACTGCTCACGTTAGCAGTGTACACCCATGGACAAACAGTAGACAATGAAGTGACCATTCAGAGTGCACCCTTTACATGATTTATATTATCATTGATGATATTTTATTTAGTGTCTTTGACCAGCGCTGGTCATCCATACTTAAACGGAGCAAAACTGAGTAACCAGGCACTCACCAGAGAATACTCCCTCTGCCAAACACCCAGTATCTTGACTTTACAGCAACCAATCACATGGAAGAAGATAATGAGTAAAGCTCCGATCCAACACAGAGCACTGACAACGATGAAGAAACCATAATGAGAGAATATGCTGGATTCTTCATGACTCAGAACCAATGCAAATGCAATCAGGCCGAGAACCTAGCAATTTTACAACGTAATCATCAATACAAGGGCTTAAACCTGTTCACTCCCAAGAGTGACCAAAGGGAATTTCTTTGCACAATAAACATACATTTTTGTCTATAACCAAGAAATACATGTATCAATTGTGGAAATCAACTAGTATAAAGAAAATTTCAGGGCATAAATACCATGACATGTATGGAAGGCAGAGAAAAGCATTAAGTGTAAGATTTTGAGAAAGGAATGGTTCCATTATGAGACAATCCGAGACATTGATTCGTATAATTCCCAGTTATTATTATTTTATTTTTCATAACTTCTGGTCATTAGATTTGTGACTGTACAACTGTACACCAAAAATGTTACAATAATATCAGCTTACGATTAAGGTTCGTTAATAACGGCTATAAAGACAACTGGATACCGCCTTGAGCAACAGCTACTGCAAAATGCACCGACGTGACATTACGCAGCGCTCTCGAGACAGCATTTTAATGACATGCACATATCAAACACTGTACATCCCACGTATAAATCATTAAAATTTGTGATTTGCGAGTAGAAAAATGTTATGTTTCACGCAGTCGTAACTAGTGCGTAATAAGGAAAAATGTTTTCCTATCGCTACATCAAACAAGAGAAGAATACTCCAGAATAATCCACTGATTTCAAAACCCACACTAAATCTTGAGTAGAAGTTTAAACACGCAAAATTTCGCAGTTGATTTGTCAGGAACACTTGTTGGGTGCGGTGAGGCAATGCATGTTTTAAAAAATACCTGCATATTTCAAATACAATTCTAACATACACAGAAAAATATTTCACATTAAGAAACTACAAAATCGAAAACTGAAGTCCGTCTGAATGCTATCGAAAGGGTAGAAAGAAATATGCAATTGACATTATTAAAAGTCGTTTGACTTTCACTTACGAACTGTAACAAATATAGAAGTCCTTCGAGCGAAATCAAAAAATACGTTTTGCATCCGTAACTGTCGCCTTCGGCCATCGTTTAAATTAATCTGTTGAGAAAAAGTACAATTTGGTTAAACTTTGCCGAAAGAAACCCCAACTCGAAAGAGAATATTGCGAACAGACCGGTATCGCATCGCTAAAAAATTTGAAATAGAAATGGTATTAGGACAAGATTTGATTAGCTCTTATTTTTAAATCTTGTGATAAACACACAACTGGATGTGGTCGAGAATGAAACATGGCAGCTACCTGTGCGAAAAGTATGTATACAACATCAGCTCTTAGGCTGAAAGGCGATTAATAGAAGGAAATGTTTATATCATTCGCTAACAACAACTTCGACGCTAAACAACTTGAATACTACATTCGGTGGTGAACACTGACATTCGATTTTGTCATCCCTGAAAAATTTGGACAGATCTCTAAAGTTGCTTAGACATGAAATATTACCAATCCACACTTACCTTATGTTTCAGAAGAATAATGTTACCCCAAAGACAGCGAAAAAACCGAAAGTTTCATGAGAGCTTAACTGCTAAAATGCGTGAGAAATAATTATTCTCTACAATCCAACAGCTCAGCGGCTTTCCGCATAATTTACATAATTACCTTCTGGGTGATTCTAATTTATGCGGACTTCGTTAGTGCATTTTTTTCTCCTGGAAATTAGTTTTCTTCTTTCCTTTTTCATTCTTTTTTTTCTTTCTTTTTTTCTCTCTTTCTTTCTTTCTTTTTTTTAAATTATTTTATTTGCTCGTTTATTTCGTTAGCCAGATAGCTTTGAGGATTGTTATATGGCACCTCTTGGGCCTATCCCAGACATCAAAGTTCATTTCATGAAAATTTAAAAGGTGGCACAAATGCAACATAGTAGAGTCGTTTGGGTGCTAAAGTTAAGGCAAGGTGGAAAATTCACTTTCTTATTTATCATGTTAGTTAGAGATATTTTCGTGTTTCTCTTGATAAACCATGATATCGGAAATTCTCTCAACCAGGAAATAATTATTGTCAGAGAACGAGTGTTCTATGGGAGAAAAGGGAAATCATATGAAGTTGTGGCTGCCTTAAATATATATAGTTCAGAGCATCGTGATAGGAAGTACCGTTAAAAGTATTTTAATTTGTTCCCGTGGTAGACCTGTGGGTGATTGTGTCGGCATGTTTATCATGTGGACTATTAAAAGCGTACTCAAGTTTTGAAAGTTCGATAAGGATGCGGTATATATAGATGTACGCCGTTTGATTTATTGATTGACGAATTAATTTCTGATTGATTTAAAAAAAATTAAATGATTGGCCGTTTGCATGCTTATTTGGTTTTATAAACCGAGCTGATGAGAGATCTGTAGGGCTAGTGCTCAAGACGACAGCTTTAGAAACTATTTTCGGTGGCTAGTTTACATCATTAACTCCGTTATCTTGTTATATCCCCTACCGACACAATCCCACAGTTTCTTCAGAAATTTACCCCATTTATTCATTTGTTTGCATGTTTGTTGCTGGTTAGTTAGTTTGTTTGTTTGTTGGTTCGTTTTTCTTTTATTGCTGGTTTATGTAATAGGGATGAATAGGTTTGCAAATCGGTAAATTTGTCCTTAAAAAGACCTCAAGGATGATAGATTTGTGAAAACAAGCAAAAACAGTGAGCGAATATGTGGATTTGAGAAAATACAGAGGATCTAGCCGGATCGACTGAAGATTGAACCCAGCATCTATGATTTCCGTCTGCCTATAGTTAGTCTAAATAATTTGAATATGAACAAAGTTGAAATGGTAAATTGCCCACCGTTCGTAACGGTGGGCCAATTTACCATTTCAACTTTGTTGATATTTTCAAATTATTTCGTTACCCCCACCGACGCAGCCCCAAACAGTTTCTTTAGAAACTATCAGCCTTTATTTATTTATAGTTAGTCTAGTTAGATAGCTAGAGGTTAAGGCTGTTGAGGATTGGGTAATTATGAAGTACACTAATAGGTTGAACGTCCTAAAAGTAAATTAACATGATTCCAAAGAGCCTTTGTCAAAGCCTCTAGTTGATTTTTATATCCAGTGTAAAATTAGAGCAGTCATTCCTCTTCAGCAAAGTCCGTTGCACGAGTCCGAAAAAATCAGCGAAATTGAAAGAAATAAAATGGTGGCTAGCGCGTCGCGTAGAACTCTGGGAGTGAGGCTGCTCATAGTCCATATCCAGTGTTTTCCACTGCAGCTTTTTATAATAGTTGTTTTGCCCAGTAATGAGCATATATGTTGCACGGGTAATTAAATATTCGTACAAAGAGCTCAGATCAATACAGTTATTAAAGGGAAATAATGATGATAAATATAATAATAATTTTTTCTTTACAACATTAATTTTTATTTCACAAAATCAGTGAAAATACAGGATAACAAACAAAATTGAGACAAATTAAGGTATAAATATTAAAACAAGTTTAAAAAGTCTCTAGCTGAGAGAAAAGTCTTGAATCTCTTCGATATTAACAACTGTTCTACAGAGTAGCAGAATTCATCTTATGTCTGCATTATTTTGCTTCAGCTTCATTCAGCAGAACAGCAAATAAATTGACGATACATGATCGACGTCCTTAATAATAATAATAAATTTTTCCTTAAAAATATTTCACAAAAAGCAGTTCTCTAAAAAAAAAAGAAAATTCAGTAAACTAAGCTACATAATAAAAAATTGACTACTTAATAATAATAATAATAATAATAATAATAATAATAAAATAAACATTGGCAGAAGATATATTGAGAAGAAACCTAGAATAGGACTTCTGCAACTTAGTAGAAACCAAGGGGCTGAGTATTGATTATGAATATACTGCTATTATTCGTTAATTGCTATTTAGAGTCAGTTCAGGGTAAGAAGCGCCAGTAGAATGCTTAAACATAACGTTTGCGACAATTTTTATTCCATATTTGATAACTTCTAATTTGAAAAGTATAATAGAAAATGAAATAGAAGAAATAGAAGAAATGGAAATAGAAGACCACAAAAATATTTTTGGGGGGTATCTTAAAAAAAAAAAACAGGTGTTGCCATCGCAGAGACATTCGTCATTAATTTTCCCAATATCTAGAGATGTCTTTACCTGAACTTTTTTCAGGGAACAAACAAATTTATGTAAAGCAAAAGCAAAAGAAAAACAAAAAAAAAGAAGAAGAAGAAGAAGAAGAAAGAAAAAAAAAGAAAGAAAGAAACACATGCTCAAAAACTTAAAAGAAAGTTACGATCATTTCGCCTTTTGATCACAGTAAATCACTTGAGTTTTAATGGAGCGAGGTGATCGCGACTCACTCTACATGACACACACCGGAAGCCTTCTCTTGCAATCGGAACTGACGTCAATCGGGTCCATTCTCCCGTAAGTATGTCGAAGCATTCTAGAGAATATAGTTCCCGTTCTCCTTTGTAGTCTCGTCCACCAATAACGTAGATCTTGGTATTCAAAACAACAGCCTCGGCATCTTGGCGAAACTCAGTCATGTCTGAAAGAGCGGAAAATGTTATTATCATCTGAGAGAGTAGAAACGGTGTAGAATGTAAAATGATTTTTCAGCTCAATGTTGTTATATTTTGACATTGTTTAATTGCAATAAATAAATGAAATTCCAGGCAAATCGTAGGCTATTTATTGAGGTATATACCTGTATCTAAAGCTTACCTTTAGCCATATTCCACTGATGCGTCTGTACATCATACACCTCACACTGGCGGAGCGTTGTGTAACCGTTATATCCACCCATGACATAAATTTTACCCTCAACCTCCACAACACACGCCCCGACTTTCCCACAATTCATCGGCAGTACAAAGCTCCAGAGGTTAACCGCTGGATCGTATCGCTCCATGCTTATCTCGGGCTCGATTCCCTGCCCTTCACCACCGATTACGTAAATATGCGTTTCTGTGGCAACCATTGCGTGACGACTTCGCGGGATTGTGGGAGGGGAAAGAGATTGCCATTTGTCGCTGATAGGGTTGTAGACCTCAAACGAGTTGCCTTGAGAACCATTTATAATTCCACCTGCAACAAAGCGAGAAAAAAAGTACTAATAAAGCACCGTAATTTGGATGCTGTTTCAAAATGTTGTAATTATTTTTTCTTTCATTTGTATTTCACTCTCACCTGAGACATACAGCAGTTTGTCATGTTCCGCCGCAGCAGACTTTGCCCTTGGTTCTTGCATTGAGTTCACATAGTCCCAGTAATTGTGGTGCGGATCATAGCATTGCACCATATCTTGAAGAAGCAGGGAAGCCTGACCTTCTACAGACCCAGCGCATGCGTACACAAATCCATCAACGGAGGCCACTGAATGATCGAACAGCTGAGTCCTGGAAAGAGGTGTTAATTACGTGTTAGCTATGTGATACGTGTTATATAAATTGGTCACCGAGAGCAAACAAAATCTAGTCAAGGAGCAGCTCAAGCAGTTTGAGGGATGCGGTACACTCCAGAGTGATAGCATGGACTCAACCGCTCCATCAGTCGGTTGGTGGGTTAATCAATGAGTTAAGCCCACTACGTCCTGTCTTGTCAGTCAAACACACCGTTCCGGAGCTTTGACCGAAAACCAAAAACACTTAATCAACGTCTAGAATCGAAAAAGGTCAAACTGACATCAGTGATGTTAGAGCCCGGACCCAAAAACTCAATTCTCACGATGCACATTGGATATCAGTGTACTGCTGAATTTCAGATGTGATATACCCAGCTGACTATCTACGGTCAAAGCACTGTTAGTTTTGAAATTGATCTTTACTATGCTTTGAAATGTTCCCCGCAACGTACCACGTCTTTGCTCGAGCTCCATATCCCATAGAGCTTCGCGGGTTTGTTGGCGCATCAATAGACTGCTGGTGTCAAACTTTCGAGTAGTAGACTTGCTTATCCCACTTTCTTTGGAATGAAGCTAGTTACCTAGATGGGATACTAGTCTAAGGTAAGTTAGCCTATTGAAAACCTAGTGGATTCTTAAACTATATGGAAGGGGCTATGTGCTTTGCCCTAAGTCGTGTAGACTTCTGTAAATGATCATAAACGACTCCAGACCTTCATTCAACCAGTTATAGGGATTGCTTTTTCCATTTCTTTCACCATAAACCAGTTATAGGGATTGCTTTTTCCATGATTTCTGTCACCATAAAATAGAAGGGACTTTTGGTATTCCAATACTTACTTCAAAGGCGCTAAAGTATACCACTGATTACCGATAGGCTCGTAACAGAACGTCAAACGACCTTCCTCTGGGTTTCGCCCTTTACCTCCAACAAATAAAATCACGTCGACTAATGTTGAATATGTTCTTGGCAACGTCCGCGGGCTGCTCAAGGTCTTTCTGATGTTCTCATCTTGCGCTGAATTGAATCGCAAGGCTTCCAAAACCATCTCCTTCGCTGTTGGTGAACGCTGCACCAACTGTTGTCGTTCGACGTGCTCCATTAGGATGCTGGGAGGAAGGAGAGCAAGACGAACGTGCTGGAGTAATTTGGCAAAATGGATGCCTCTGTCTTTACGATCATAGTCTGTCCATCTAACTAAACTGTCGAACACCTAAGAGATCAATAAGCATTTAGAGAGATGATTTGGTATTTGTATTTACAATACTCTAAAATTCTTGTCTTAAGACAAGATTTTCGCGATGGCCTGACGTGTTTTACGGAGTTAGGTCAGACAAAATTTCAAATCTGACCTCCATTACATCCGTGCTTATTTCAGCGACTAATGACGGCCCGTAAAGCCCCCGCGACAAACTTTAGGTATCAGTTAGGTAAGATTTATATTCGATTTTTATTCGCTTCCGTTTTTACTCTGTTTCACATCATAGTAACTAAACTTAGTTGTACGTCTCTGATTCTAATCAAATTTATCACACCTACCAGAAATCTTTGATTCAAGTCAAAGTGCGAGAGAACCCGTAGGGGTTACGACTTGTCTCTCTTCACTTTTCAACAAAATGAAAATTCCACATCCCGATCCTTTAGTTTAGCTCTATATAGTCTGAGGGTCACTAATTGAGCAACTGACTGGTGAACGCAACAGTGCATTACTTGTCAGTAACCGTCGTTTTCGAGCGAAGCCTAAAATTTCACTGTTAAACCTAAAATCTCCTTGTTACCCCAACAGACGCAGCACCACAGTTTCTTTATAAACTTACCCCCTAAAAATTTCATAAACCGGCTCTTCTTACGCGGTGTTAACTATGTCAGTACTTATGCATAACGATTTTGTTTTACCCTTGACTTGTACAAAGGCGTTTCCTCAAGAGGAACTTTGTTTAGAATGAAACAAGAAATTACAGCGACTTCAATCTAGCCTAAGACTGTGCTAAAAAATCACTTCAGTGGAGTCGCCTTGCTACCTGTTGCTCACCAGTTGTGCAAATATCACTGTTGGACAATATGCTCTCTAGTTCATCTTGATGTAGCTCCAAAAACTGTGATGTTTCCGCGACTTTGACAAAATTTTCACACAGAAATCTGTGGCACCGCTGATGAAGCTTTTCTTGTCCATGAGTAAGCGAAATTTCCTGCACTTTCAAACAATTGTCAGGCGTTAAAAAACTCGCAAGAACGTAGGAACATTCCTCGATCAAGCTTTGTAGCTTGAAGAAGATTGCAGCCTTGAAAATGTCGATAGCGTTGCCGATGTTGATAAAAATTCGTCCTCCATACATGTAACCAAGTAATGCCTCCATAGTGGAACGCTCGATCTCTTGAGGAAGATCCACGTGCTTAATGAATCGACCGCTTTCGTTGTCTATGAACAGGGATCGGAAATACGGACTCGCAACGCCGAGGATATTACGATGGCACGAAAATTTCAAACTTCCAATTCGCAGCGTCACATCGCAGAGAATCGCCTCTCTGCGTAAGAATTGAAAGTACTCGATGATAGAATCTTGAAAATTTCTATCCACAAATAAATACGTTTGGTCCTGTTTGATTCTATTAATGTCTGTCTGGATATCTCCAACGTGTTGGGAAGGCATACTGAACTCTTGAGTCTGATTCCTTTATTTTATATTTTACTAGTGCCTGGTTAGATACATTAAATGCTTACAAGTATTATTTGCATACCAAGAAAGCTGCGTGAGTTTATTTATGCTCATTTAAGAGTCGTATTTGTGGTGTAAACTAACAGGTACCACTGGTATATTTATGTATGCAAATAATGACGGCGGATTTTGTCCGTGCATTTTTGAAATGTAATCGGGCTAACACTCACCTCTTAAACTGAAAACAGACAAAAAAAAATTCAACAGACTTTGGAGGGAGGGGAGGAACTGAAGAGCGACGGCGAAACAATGACCGGGAAAATATGATTATCACTTTCCATGTTTTGTTGCCAGCGCATGTGTCTGGGTAATGGGCCGGTCAATATTAATCCCCTGGGCAAGTCGGAGGATATTGGTTGTATCACGATAAAATTTACCTGATTCCCCCATAAGGTTTTGTAATATTGTCATGATCCCCCTCATAGGCAGTTATAATCAGCAGTCAATTTTTCATGTTCCCCTTTCATATCCTGTTGGATATATATGACTGATCCCCTGTTATTCCCCTGAAAACCATGTGATCCCTACCAAAAAAATTCCTCTTCTTAATGAGTTCATTATTTTCCCTGGAAAATTGGAGAGGTGTCTCACACATTTTGACGCAGACTAGATGGTTCAATGGGTAGTGATCACTTCGATTTTCTCTAACAGCTGGACACCATGATGACTACTTGCGTGATTGTTTACATGCGTGATTGTCTACATGCGTGGTTACAAAGGCGATAATTAGTCTGGTCTCCTGTCGTCGTGATCCGAACGGACGATCGCGTGAGTTTGGACACTCACCAAGCTCTCGTTTCTACAGAACGAACATAAAATCCACTAATTTGTGACAATGTCTGACGAACCGGAAACAACCACCTCTGATTTTTGGAAGGGACTTTGGAAGAACGGTGACATTGGCTGGCATCGTAACGAAGTGAATGCATTTCTGATCAAGTATTTTGACGAACTCACCGGTGGACGATCGAATCTTCGCTTCTTCGTGCCCCTTAGTGGAAAATCAGTAGATATGTTGTGGTTGGCCGACAAAGGGCATACAGTGGTTGGAGTAGAGCTCGCCAAGCAAGCAAACGAGGATTTCTTCGCAGAAAATAACCTGACTTTCACGGTGGAATCAGTTGAAATGTCTGCAGTCAGTGAGCCTGTGGAAGTATACAAGTGTACGGAGAAGAAGATCACGATCTTTTGCTGTGACCTCTTCGCTATGACAGAAAATGATGTTGGTGGGAGATTCGACGCCATCTGGGATCGTGGATCCTTGTCTGCCATCGCTCCTTCGTTTGGTGACAGGGGTAAACGGTATACAACAAAAATGCATTCACTTCTGGCTAGTGGTGGAAATTACCTGCTAGAAAGCTGTTATTATGAAGTTGACCGCGGGATGAACCCTCCAGCCAGCATTCCAGACGAGCAGATAAATGAAATGTATGAAGAACACTTCACTATCAAAAAGCTGGAAGTGAACAAAATTCAGCCAAACCTCGACATAAAATTGTCCTTTGCTCTCGACATGAAACATTACCTGTTCAAGCCAAAAGTAAACTAATGTACCCGGGGAAGGTGGGCGGGGAGGTAGTTGCTATGGACATTTTTATATTGACGAGGAGGCTAGATATCTCGACCAGTGGTGTAAGTGTCGGTTTTTTCCTCCTTAGGAATAATAAAAAAAAAACCAGGTACTAATACTACTCTGATTAGCTTGGGTGATTTAAAGATGAATTTTTTTCTATGTCCAATCAACATAAACCCTTAATAGTTGTTTCAAGTTTTTAATCAAGGTCTAACCATGCCCATAGTTGCCTCTTGTGGGGGCTAAATTGTTCATGTGGGTTGCCACCCCCTGTTCCTTGACCCTAACCTACTGGACTGTTCATAACAAATACAGTGTAGTTCCCTTAGGATCAAGGGAACTATACTTTTCTTTTTGTTCACTTGCATTTTTTAGACTGTTGAGATTTACCACAAGTTTAGTTGTAACAATTTGATATCCTATCCAGATATCCCCATCTGATATACCAAAGTAAATCAATCATTGATTGCAATTTATCAGATCAGTTGTAATCAATAATTCCTGATTAGTCCCACATGTCAATGAAATAAACACTCACATAAATGAATAAAGGCTGATAGTTTCGAAAGAAACTGTTTGGGGCTGCGTCGGTGGGAGTAACGAAATAATTGGGATACATCACCAAAGTTGAAAAGGTAAATTGGCCACTGTAACGATTACAAAAGCTGACGTTTCGAGTGTTAGCCCTTCGTCGGAGCGAATAGAGGAATTGTGGGTTGTGTGTGCTTTTAAAGGCAGAAAATGGAGCTACGTTATTGGTGGGAACATGGCAACGAGAAAAACATGAATAAATTAGTGGAATGAAAAGCGTTCTTTGATCCCTGTGGGATTTAGACTGCCCGTTTGAAAGATGAGCTTTTGTTCAAAATTTTTAGGGCTTTCCGTGCTACCTAAGTGCAAGGAAAGACCGCAGATTGGCATATGTTGCTTAGAATGATTAGGTAAATTAAAATGTCTAGTGACTGGTTTCGATGTGTCCTTGTCATTCCATAAATGAAAAGGTTGATTTTGATCATAATCAGACCAAAACTATTAATGAGTGTTTCAGGTTGTCTTGTTTGCGCTCCTAAGGAAGAGCTTGATTTTTGCTTGCTTGGCAAGCTCTACTCCAATCCACAGTATGCCCTTCCACTGATTTTCCACTCAGGGGCAGGGAAAAAGTAAAGATTTGATCATCCACCTGTGAGTCACCAGAAATGCATTCCTTTCATTACCATGACACTCACCCCCACTTGCAGAAATACAGACAAATTTTGCCCCCTTGTTAGCCAAGTGATTAAGCAAAATTTATTTTTCTTTCACTGAAAATATATAATTTTTCAGAAGCAGTAATAAGTCAAAAGTTCTTACCCTTGCAGGGGCCTCATTAATGTTTTCTGCAGGAGGGCAACTGGTTTTCACAGGTGGGAAAAACTCTTTGAACTGAACTTTTTATAAGAAAACTTTCCACCAGACAGTCAAATCAGGTGGGCAAAACCGTCCTGACAACTGGTCAATTTGCCCGGTGCCTGGCCCTTAATGAAGCCCCTGCCCTTGATGATAAATAAACTAAAATTCCTTGACATATTTTACAATTGCATTTTAATAAGCAACATTTGGAACTTAAAATATTTCTACAAACACAAATTAATGTCACTGCATTGAAAGGAAAAATTATAATACAAAGTTGAATGTTGAGTAAAATCACAAAACTTCACACCAGTAGTGAATATAGAAACATAGTTCCAAGTAGTCACAACTAATTATTTACAAAAGTTACAACTGGAGGGCAAACATTTACCAAACGAATACATAATGCATCTGACAAACCTTTCACAGATTGGGAGAAAACCAAACTCTTGCAATCACATCAACATGTAGGATCGAGGTCAACATATTGGTTCTAAATCATGTGTTGGCTTTGAGAATTAGAAGCCTCGTGAAAAGAACAGTCACTGTCATTTTCTTCAATATTGGAAATTTCCACCATAAACTATTTCTTGCAAAGTGCAAAGGGAAGCTACTAAAAAAAATTCCTTGTCATTTAAAACACTGACATGAAAAAAGTCTAAAACAATTAACCTTGTAAAATTCATGAGTGACCAAAACAGAGTTTCTCCCTACAATAGTCATCTAAACAATATCATGGGGACAAGTGAAAAGAATAAAGAAAAACATCAATTAACCTAGGATTATTAGTTCATCCAATACCAAATATTTCCCAGAACTGACATCATACAAATTCTATGGCAGAAAGTGAGAAGTAGTACAAATAAATGAGATCTGGGAGTGAAAAATTGAGAAATTCTCACTGGTGAACTTGATGCACATAAATGCACATTGTGTGTAACTGCATATTATACCGTCCATTATTTCTGCTTTCTCTACTCTTCATGTTGTGTCAATCCTCACTTCGTAACATAATAAATACATCATACCTTTAACACTGCAAAGGAAAAAGTTTGTTTATTTCCAATTTGTTTTGAACAGGCATCCAAGGAGTGACTGTTCAAGTCAGAGTAGCTGGCTCGCTTTTGTTGCATTTTGCCAAATATATATTAACGAATTCTTCAAGGTCTTAAATAAGCTCAACTTGCATTTGTACATGTTGAGGTACTCTGAAGAAGCTAGTAAGACTCTTACAATTAACACAAAGATTTGTTTCAGAGTGCAAAGAATAAGATTCTTTTCTTGCAAATTGCAGACAGTGTAAACTAGATAACTGTGAGAAACTGGGGATAAACAACACCCACAGTTAGTTTAAAAGATCACAATTTTCCCTGAGGCCAACTTGTGTACATATACAACACCCACAGTTAGTTTAAAAGACCACAATTTTCCCTGAGGCCAACTTGTGTACATATAAATTTTGTTAACAAGTATAATCTTCCACTTTCAAAACTAGGGAGAATTTCAGATTAAAAATAACAATTAACACAATACAATTACTAACTTCTCTAAGCTTAAAGTCCATTTGTTTCAGAGCACTCTAAAGTGTATGCGACTTTATCATGACAAATTATTGAAAAAAATACGAAGGCATAAAATTCAATCAGCAGCAAGAGTGCTTTATCTCTAAATTTTTTTCTCCCTAAGGTCTCTCTCTTTTTAAAAAGGTTACACATGAAAGACCACAAACACTTTTTAACTCTGTCCATAAAGAGCCAATTGACTTTTTTCCATGTAATTTCCAGTAATATACAGTGGTTGCTGCATGCTCTTTAGTGCTGCCCCTGATTTGATGAACATGTTTTGTACTTTTTCTGGGTTTTGGTTCAGTTCATGAATGCAATGTGCTTATTTGAGTGAATTGGTTGACAAAAACAGATAAGCTTCATTCTTTGGCTCGGATAGAGGAAAAAAAGGCAATCCAGAATTCTCCCTTTCCTTCTTTTCAGCAGTTCAAAGAGCCATAAAAAGAAGCACTGAAGTACCACAAACATGCACAGTCAAAATGTTTCCTTCCATACTACAAATCCAACAAGGAAAAACAATTTCACAGTCAGTTGGTGATTTAACTGTTAGCTCAGCCAGTGGTTCAAGCAGTTCATATCAGTCCCCTTCTCTTCTTGTAGTCTTCAAGGTTTAGTGATCTCCTAGGTGCCCCATCCCTTTCATTGTTGGCAGGTCTTGGAGTAGCTACCACTGGACGAGACTCTGTTGAAAGAAGATTTGATTTAATTGTTTAAGTTAATGATATACGCAATTTTTCTCATCATTCCAAAATAGGACATCCTAATAGAAAATAAGGGAATGCCCCCCCCCCTTATATTCCTCCATCATTTCTCTCATCAAATTCATCAGCTGTTTTAAAGATTTTTAATAACCATACATGGGTTATTGCCTAAGCAATCATGAAGCTTATTTTTTATCATTTGGTGGGCTCCCTGAGCTGAACAGAAACCTTTATTCTGAATTGCTATCTTATTGGCACATATAAGCTTTACATACAAGGAAACTTGGCTGATTTACCAACAAGCTTGGACAATAGCACACCTTATCTTCTGTTGTGAATTCAAAAGTATATATCCTTTTAAAGCATAATAAACACAAAGGAGTCTTGTTTCCTCCAATACTGAGTAATGAAAATTTCGGTTCTTTCTGTTTTTACAGGGACACCTGGGAGAACAGACCATTGAATGGCGTTCCCTGGTTAAATAAAGCTCATTATTATTATTATTATTTTTAATCTAGTGCAGCACACATATCTGAGTATAGACTTGTACAGTGTATTGCTTGAACTTGACTGGACATTTCCAAAACTTTCTGCTCCCCAAAGGATTCCTAAAGTAATGCTATATCCACTACAGAGAATTAAAAAAAAAAAAGTGCAATACCAGTTCCAGGGGCAGGAATGTCGAGATTGATTGTGATGTCAAAGTTATGTGCTGAAAACAGATCCTCTGACTGAGAGGGTTTCCTATCAGGAGGCTGGTGAGCTGCTCCAGCTGGTGGAATTTGTGAAAGTCTTTCTATATCTGAACCCTAGAAAGGAAAGGAGATGACTGTGTTTAAATGAAATAGAAGTGATAGTATCAGTTATATCACCCTAAATTTAAGCTTTCTTTCACTGATATATCATGATTGTCTTTTACTTACACTATAATTACCATCTTTGGAAAACAAAAATGTTTTACCCCTTGAAAAATGGGACATGTCCTTTCACACACATACCACCCTAACATTTAGGGCAACCTCTTGTAGTCACTTCCCTTCATCCAATGCATTGACTATTGAGAGGGCCCACTATACCCAAATACTAACTTACTCAAATCCACTGTTCTTTATTCACAATTTGTTTTGATCAAGATGCATACATGTATAGTGTTTCCATTCCATAGTGGTTTAGGATGAGTTGAACTTACATCAACTGTGTCAGTCGGTTGGCTTGATGATGATGCCTGCAACAAACATGAAGCAAATCAGTATGGAACAAACTAAGTCTTTTACAACTTGTTTCTATAATCACATGTCTACATCAAGACTGTGCTCTATGAAAAATTGAAGGAAGCCCAGCCCTCTGAAACTGTGAAATCCAGGGTGCCCAACATAATTATGCTTTTTATATATAAAAAAAAAAACTACGGTTCCTGAGTTGCCTACCAGCAAAAGTAAGGTGCCAGGGGCCACCGGGCACTGCTACACCGTATATAGTATATTAAGTAAAAAGCTCACTGCTACATGGTATATAGTATATTAAGTAAAAAGCTCACTGCTACATGGTATATAGTATATTAAGTAAAAAGCTCCAGAACACTACTTAAAAATAAATGACAACATATGTATAAGAAAGAGCTTTCACAGTATGAGACCAATAACCCTTTGACTAGTATCTATTTTCTCCTTACAATATCACCCCTGAATCACACATTAAGGTCACAAGAATAAAGGAAATGATCACCTGCTGAAGAGCTCTTAATTGTTAAACAAATTCTTCATGTTAGTAGCTTAGGAAACGTAAAGAGAACAGTATGGAGAATATCCATCCACCTGTACTGGTGTTAGAGCGTAAAGGGCTACTGCAAAACACTATTATAATAAAAATGACAAAACACTAAAACTCAACACCTACTCCATCAGTGCTGGTGGATTGAGGCATCCCAGCAAAAGCTGCCCCTTCGGTATTTCCTTCATTCTTTTCTTGTGTAACAGAACTTGGTAAGGTTTTATTAGCCTGGAAATAAAAGTCAGAGAAAGCCCAAGCATTAAAAAGTACAACTGACTTTTCACAATTAGTATTTTGATGAGACAATTTGGTGAAACTACAGCTCTGCAAACAGAGAGTATGTCAAGTTCAGATGTGCAGTGCCACCTTTCATGCAAATTTTTGGAGGTCTAAAACAATTAAGGCATGGCTCTGTGGCATCCTACAGGTTCAGTTCATGTTGTCCATAATTTTACAGAGTTTGACTCACTCACCATAGACACAAGTTGAGGAAGGGTTTTCCGTCTTGTGAATGGATCAGCTTTTTGTTCCACATTCATTTCTTCCTGTTTGGGAAGGATTAATAGTTGTGAAAGAGTTAGCAACAGTTTTTGAAGTGTTTACACAAAAAGAAACTTGACATTTAATAACCCAATCACCCTCAGTTTTTTCTGTTAACTCTTTACCTCCCAGAACTGATTAACATGTTATTTCTCCCTATACCATCCTTACAATATCCAGCAAACAGGTAATGAGAATACTCTAACATATCGGGAAGACAATGTTATCTTGATCCAACACCAAATGCTCTTCCCTAATTAACAAGGAATATATAGCAACTGGCCATGGAGGGAGGAATTAACAATCAGATCTTGGGAGTTAGATGGTTAACAAATGCACCTTTGAAAAAGGGAACAGATAATTTGCATTTTTCTTTAGTACAGTAACTGTAACTCATCATCAACATCATATGTACATGCTCCTCCATCAACTCATGAAAAACATGGGAAATTTTTTTCACAGAATGCCAGCCACAAGAATACAAAACTACTTAATAACAGTTATCTTACAGCTGCAGCTTTTTCAGCCTCCACAATATTCCTCTTTCTGTTTCTCTCATTGATATAACTGCAAGTGGAAACAGAATGCCGCAAGAGATAAATATAAGCTGCTGGCTAAAGTATATCAAGGAAATTAATAGAGTTTAGTAAAAATAATGAACTGTTCAATTTTCAAAAGAAACAACCCACTTAACTCTTCGAAAGGTGTTAAAACTTGAAATAGACATGGTAGAGATTAAAAAGCTGGCTTTTATACAAATACTTTCACGAAATTCCTTGAAAATCTTTAGATTATACAGCATTATATTAATTTTTTCATGTTCTTTTCCCCTTTTCTTAGGTGTTAAAACTTTGTCTAGGATACATGAAGACCCTGATTTACACCCATGACACTCTTCTTTTTTTTTTAAGAACAAGTTAAGAAAATTGTTTGACATGACAATATGTTCTTTAGGCCAACTTAAAAACGTCTAGACTAAGATGTTGGGCTGGGTTTTCAAAAAGTGGTTGTACAGGCTCTTAAAATTAGATTTAAAACTGAAAGTTGAAACTGGGAGCATGAAAATAAGATAGGTAATATCTTATGGGCTTTTCCATAATACAGGGGAAAATTGAACAAAGCAACGTTTGAAAAGCGAGTTCAACAAAAATCAAACAACTTAAAATGAACCACAACACAGGGTACATTTAGTTTAATTGTGATTTGCAAAACACAGACCAAGGCTTTGTATTACCTGATAGCACTAAGGTTTTTAGATCGCACTTTGTCAAGTTGTTGCGCTTTCTCTTCCAAGTCATCTAGTTCACCTCGCAGTTTTTCTGCCTCTTCCAAGTTCCCCTTCTGTTCTGCTATTTCCTGTTTCCAAAAAAGGACAACAAAAAGTGCTTTTAACTTATTTTCTTATTTTTATTCAAATACAATTCACTACCTTACTCATGAATTCTGTGTAAAATTGAACTTGAAAACCGAAAAATCAATGAGTTTAACTTCATAATAATATTGAATGTGACTTAAAGCTACAACAAGCTTTTACAAACCTTTGATCGCATTAAATGATTCTTCTTTTGAGCATAATTAAAAGGTGTTTTCCTAAATTTCTGCTTCTCAGCGACAATCTGTCATTAATGGTACAAACAAAAAAGAACATAATTATTCAATACCTCATAACCTTTGCTAATGAAAAACAAAGAAAATGAAAAAATCTGGACAAACATTTCTGTCACACAAAAGCATAAATTTACAAGCCTAACGTGGAAATTTCTTGTTCCATAATCAGCAACGATACACATGGTGCTCAAATGTAAGTTAGCAGTTTTGCATGATTAAATTGCCATAATTAGTCTGGCCATAAGAGTGAAGACATTAGTCTCTTGAGTGACAAGGAGCTTGCCTTTTGAGAATAGTCTCTTTTCTGGTGTGAGAATGTTAACTTCATTGTGAGAATAAATGTAATTATCATTAATAATCAAAATGGTTACTAACAGCTTTGCATAATCAATAGCTGAACACATGACTCCAATTCTAAGAATTTCACTACTTTGCATCAGTTTTAGTTGCCAATTATCACAGAGACACTTGGATCATGGTCCTAGGTGACTTAGGTTAGTTCTATCCTTCTTCAAGACATTTACCTAAAGCCACACTCTCACAGTTTGCATACCATACCTTATCAATATCTTCTTCATTATACATGTAATGCTGTGCCTCATTAAACTGTTTGGCTTTAGTGTCCACTTCCTCAAGTGTTGGTAAAGGAATGCCATGAGATTCACACTGGGAACAAATGACAAATATGATCATCAAAATCACTGAAAGACAACTTAAGTAAAAACAACTGAAGAGGAGTTATATTGTTCAATTGTTCAGTTCACTCCCATAAATGCTCAACACTAGTGAATTTAAGTTAAATCATCTGAGAAAGAATGGAGAGATTAACCCTGTTTAACTCAATTATAACAAAAGTTACCTCCTCTTTCCACCTGGAAAATTCTGTTTCTGTGAATCTCTGATTTGACACAAACTCTAGTCTAAACACCCTTTCCTGGTTGCCATGTCTGAAAACAAAAAAGGAACATTGTTATTAGATTATATTTAGGAGTGGAAAAGTTCATAACAGACAGAGGGATGTTATTCCTATTTTACTCCTCCATCTGGAGAAGGGGTAGAAACTCAACATCATCTCATAAATTTAAGGGGACTACCAGTTCTGTAAATTCTCAACTAGCATACTTTAGTTTTAATCCTTTATTTGTTTTTGTACTTCCCAAAGAGTATATCTTAGCTGTTTCCACCACATCTCTTATCTCTGCAACCTACAATAAAAAATACCAGTATTGTAAGAGGCTGTAATCAGTGTTTGTCTGTTGAGATTGTTTAGTTTAAACCCATCAGTCAAGTTAAAGACAAGTTGATAACCCCTGCAACTGCCAAAATTGATTAACATGCATTTTCTTGCCACAATACCAATACATCATGCAGCAAACAGGTTTTGAGAATAATCAAATTTATAATTTAGAAGTTTTTATCTTGATCTAACACCAAATTCTCACTGTAATTTACAAGGAAATGGGTTGCAGCTAGAGGGAAGAGTTAAAAATCAGATCTAAGGAGTTGAAGGATCAAGTTTGTAATGTCCAAAGTAAGAGTTGCTTATTCTCACAGTGCTGCCATCTATTGAGGAGAGTTGCTTATTCTCACAGCGCTGCCATCTATTGAGGAGAGTTGCTTATTCTCACAGCGCTGCCATCTATTGAGGGAAGTCTCCTCTATAATTATTAGTAAACCATCCCTCTTAAGTTAGTCAATGTCAAGTTTGATCGGCTTCACTGCTGAGACTTTCTTGAATAAATCAAACTGTTCTGCTTTTTTCCTTGCTGTTATCCCTCAACTGAATGCCTCCCTCTCACAAAAACCTTTTCAATCTTCCATAATGAATTTCAAGAAATGGCCCTTTACTCCTTATACCAATGAGAGCAACTTTGCTGTTCTCTCTGCCTCATTGTTGTGACTTGCATGTTATTTTGGCACTGGATCACTAGACCACAAAAACTTGGAAATGGCCTATTGATATGTGGTTTCTCAAGAAACAAAACCTTACCCTATAAACAGGTCTTGCATCATGGTTTCCAATACCAACACGCACATAACAGCCAGCCACTATCTCGCCAAAGAAAGGCATGTGTACCCATCTGTTTAAAAACAGTTAAAAATAACAACAATGATAAACAACAAACCTTTGATTTCTCCTGGAATTATTTCAACTCGCAATGTTTCAATGCACTTGAATGTGTTCCCAAACACATTTAAAAAAAAGAAAAACATTTCAGTGCAAGCACAACAAGCCAGTTCTCAACTTAACGGAGTTGTACAGGTGTAATGTTGTTGCCTAGTAATACATGTTGCAAGAACCTAGATGTAAGTGTAGAAGCATGTGAAGGCAAGGATGAGATCAATTTTCTCTTTAGTGCATCAAATAAAATTAATATGTTCTTCAGAAACTCTGAGTTTAGTCTTCTTTAGACATCATAAAAGGCACCTGAATTCTCTTTGAATTTACTCGACGCTTGTCTCCTCACTGATTCCCATGTGAGGAGTCTCTCCATCTAGAGACAAGACTCCTGACACAAGAATAGCTGATTCTGTTCACTATTTTCACACCACACAGGCCAATACCTTTCAAGTTTGTGCCGTGATATTCTTATCCTCTCCAGGTCTCCCAAAGCCGATACTCTTTGAGGTTGTGCCTCACCTTGCCTGGAGTAGAAAGTCAAAGAAACAGTCAATCAATTCCATCTTTAAATAAAATAGCATCATATCGATAGCTAACAGCTTGAACTCCATTTGCTTACTCTTCATCAGATTCTTGGTAGGATCCTTCCCCTGAACTTGATTTGCTTTCCTCCTGCTCATCATCATCCTCATCGTCAGTAAACACATCACTAGTCTTGAACTGAGGCGCTTTTTGGTCCACTAACGATTCAGCAACTTTTTTCTCTTTTTTCTCAGATCTCTTTGCCTTTAGGTCATCCAAAGCCTTTGCTTTTTTTTCTTCAACATGTCTCTTCCGCTCTTTTTTGCGCAAAGCTATACCTTCCTTCTCAATATTTGCTTTCTCCTTCTCTCGCTTTTTCTTCTTCTCCTTCCTTTTAGCAAGACGGAGTTTTCTTTCAATTTCAAATCGAGTCTTAAGAGCTTCTCTTTTCTCCACCCGGTTGAAGATCTCCTGCTCTCGTTCTTTTTCTGTCATCTTTTCAAGTCTTGCTCTGTCTGCTTCATCTCCCATCAAGTTGTCATCCCAACCATCATGATACTGCTCCTCCTCTTCATCTTCTGAGGAAGATGATGATGACGATGACTCTGTTTGAATGAAATGCACAGTTCTAACCTGAATAAAAGGCAGTAACCACTCAGATTGTATTCCTTAACCCTTAGACTCCCATAAAAGTGAGGAAGAAAGAATTTCTCCCTATACTATCAATACAATATCAAACAGAGAAGTGGTGAGAATAGAGAAAAAATATCAGTTAGGGGATTATTAGTTTATCCAACACCACATTTCTCCCAACTAACACACCAAGAATTGTATGGCAGACAGTAAGGAGAATTGCTACTGAGATCTTACAAGTAAAGGGTTAAAAATTGGTTAGTGCTGGACTCTAATTGAAGAAGCCAGATTTGAGGGTCTAGGGTCACAAGTTGGGTTCCAGCTCTCCCACTGTGTTGAGTTCTACTGCAAGATACTTTTCCCTCACAAGACCCGAGAAGTTAGCTAAGGGCCATTGTGGATAAAAAAGGGTTAAATACTGTGTGTCCAAAAGATAAATAATGGACAAAATATGCATCAGAAAAACACACTACATGCCTCTATTTAAGTACTCTGACTTATAGTTTGCTGCAAAGTTCTCTTTAAACATGAAGCATATGCAGTGCACAATGCCACTCACAGAGCCTAATTTGCTTGAGCTTAACCTGAATTCCAAAGCACAAAGCTACCAGGAGGATTGTCAGTTTTGTCAGATTTCCATGAAGTTTTTCCAGTTACCTCTTACAATTCAAGGAGGAAGAGGGACTCTGGGAGTCAACACAATAACCTTATCATTTGATTATTAATTATTTTTGTCACCTGGGTTGATAATATTAATTGGCCAAGATTAAGGGATTCTACAGTTCATGCTTTGAACATGAGCCTGTTGTCAGTGCAAATCCACAATGACCTGGCTGGGCTTGATTACAGACATTTTGATTCAAGGTCCAACCTACTGACAATATATTAGGCCATCCAGTCCCCTTCACCAACCATAAATTATGCATAAAACTTCACATTAAAACTCTTGCTAATAACTCTTAATTAAGTATTTAAGATTATTACACAAGTCATGCTCTCATTGATTGATACAGGTGTATTTTGATGAGTATTTAAATACAGTTGTTATGTGTGAAATATTTTTAAGAGCGACAGAGGGCTTTGCTGTGTCTTCATAGCTTCACCTAAAAACTTGGGGGGGATTGAAGAATTCTCAAAAGTTATGCAAACCTGAGATGCAGTTGAGGGTGTGCATAACTTTGCCAAATTCCCAGAGCCCTACTTGCATTTAGATGAAGCTGTGTAAACACAGGAAAAGTCCTATTCTGCTTTAGTACAAGGACTCTCACCACCAGAGGACGTTTCACCACTTTCTTCTGACGAAGAACCCGATGATGAAGCCTTTTTGGGTTTTTTCTTGTCCTTAGCTTTTGCAGCCTTTCCCTTACTATTCTCAGAATCCATTGTCCACTATAGGTATTAAACAATTGAATAAATAAATCAACAAAGACTATATTAAACCATTGACCCTTAAAAGTGACTAGCATCTAATTTCTCCTCACAATATGACCCCTGAATCACACTTTAAGGTTATGAGAATTAGGAAATGATCACCAGCTAAAGAAGCTCTTGATTGTGTAATAATTTCTCCTACTACAATTTGAGGAAATGTATCGAGAACAGTATGGAGAATATGACAGGGTTCGTAAACTTTTTCAGGCCAAAGATTCAAGGACTTTTCAAGGACTTTCCAGGACCCCACTTAGAAATTTCAAGGACTTTTTGTAATGGCAATTTCATCTCAAAACCAAGAAAAATATTTCTGTTAACATCTATGTTTTGCATTTACCGATGGTACAAAACAAAAGCAGATATTTTTCGATGTTGTTGAATAAAAAAATTAAGGACTTTCAAGGACCCAAAACGAAATTCAAGTACTTTCAAGGCCTTGAAATCGGCCTCCTGACAAAAAAAAAACAAAAACAAAAAAAAACAAAAGCAGGTATTTTTTGATGCTGTTAAATAAAAAAATCAAGGACTTTCAAGGACCCAAAACAAAATTCAAGTACTTTCAAGGCCTTGAAATCAGCCTCCTGAAATTCAAGGGTTTTCAAGACACGTACGAACCCTGATATGACTACTGATGTTAGGGTAGAAAGGGTTAGGCATGACATTAATTAAGAAGCATGACCTTGAGAAGCATAACCACTGGTTTTGATTTGGATGGTTTACACAGCTGTGATTGGTGCAATTATAAACCTTGGTGTTCTGATGATATGTTCCAAATGGCAAGAGTACCATATAACCCCATATATTAATTACGCATTCAGACTAGTAGACTTTGTTTTTGAAGTTTTGTCGTGAAAGACAAAGAAGTGGAATGTATGGGGTTCTATGGTACTCTTTCTGTTCCAAACTTGCCTGAGTGATCTGTTGTGGTTCTTAAGTTGTTGCCCTTCCTGATTTCCTTATAATAACATAAAGCAAAAACAGCTACAGGACAGCCATACACTGTATGACAAATTAATGATGTGGTCAAGTTTGAACATGTATGCACCATTTTTTTTTTCAAAACAACCTAAATAGCTGCCGTCGTTAAAAAGCTACTGAATCATCATATCAAAACCCATAACAAAAACTCACAAATACCTGGAAATTTGGTTAAGCATGTTGTTTGGGAAGTTTTCATTCACGTTCGCGTTCGTAAGGCTTTAATTTACAATTGGAACAATTCAAATTACAATTACAATATTCATTATTTCAAGAGGGTAAATACATGATTAACCCAGTAAAGAGTTTTCTAACACATGGCCCTCTGTAAACCCACCCATCCCACCCCAGGGAGGACATCCATCA